TCAATGGTAGTTAGATATAAAATAAAGATTGTGTATAAGGATATAATACAGGAAGAAAGAATTAGTTTGTAGAAATAAAGGTATTAAGTAATTTTAACCTCATCGATTAAGGGAAGACAGAGAGTGTATACACCTATACCATTGTGATCAATTCTGATCCATGTCACCAAGAGTCTCCAACCATAGATAGACACGATAGACACGCGGACTCCAACCAATTAGTCTGCATCTATCAACATGGCTAAGACTAGAAGTTGGTGATTTCATAATAATAGATAGTAAAGCTGAATACTAATCTGGGTCACTTTATTATTCTATTGATCAAGCTAACAAACAACCCGTTTTTTATGCCTACCGTAACAACATTTGGATATCTTTCCATTCAGTAAAAAGCAAAATTTAGGGAGATACCACAAATATTGTATTAAGCAGTTAATAACAAACGAAAAACTATGTGTAGTGTTTAATGAATTATCATAGATGACAATCGTTGATGGTTGTGTTTTAATATAAGCTGACGAAATTTATAAAATATAAACCACTTACGGCTACTAAAAGTTTTATTTACATTCTATTTGAAAGCGTCTCGGCAGACTACTGAAAATCACTTGGTATTGTTTACTTGAATCTTCCCATTGTTATTTAAGACTGCAATTGATCAGTCTTTTATTAGCATATGTGCATACTGTGCGAACTGCCTCGATATTGTCTTAAGTCACAAGCATTATAAACGAAGATGAAGGTACATCCAGCTGACAAGTCCCAAACAGGACGAAATGCACGTCCTGAATTCCACTGCTAGCCACTATTCATCTTTGGTTATAAGACTCTTGAAAAGTTTAAAATGAGATTATAATGGCTAAGCAGTACTTTCTGACTTTCTATGAATTCCTAGTTAAAATAAACTATTATGAAGTAGTACAACCGTCTTGATAAAACGATGTAAATGGTTTAGAAGTATTGCTCTTCTAAACTGTATATATTTCTTTTTTGAATAACATACTGCTAAATTATTTTGGATGATACAAGAGGAACACTAGTATAGGGGTTGTGGAGATTATTAAGATTTTGATTGAGATCATGAACCCATTGATGTTAGACCACCACAATTGAAAACCTGGAAGCACTGGACGGCCGTTTCGTTTTATTGTGGGACTCCTCAGCAGTGCGCGTACACGATCCCGCTCGCGGGATTCGAACCCAGGGCCTTTGGTCACTCGCGCGAACGCTTAACCATCTGGACCCCTGAGCCGGCATCCAATGGTGATAGTTTCTAACATGAATGCGCACTGCTGAGGAGTCCCATAAGAGGACGAAACGGCCGTCTAGTACTTCCAGGTTTTCAATTGTGGTGGTCTAACATCAATCGGTTCATGATCTCAATCAAAAGAGGAACAGTTTAACCATCTTCTTTCAAAACACAAAATTCAAATAAGAGACGTGATTCTAAATGATGAATATGTATAAAGTGAATACGGATAAAGTATTTGATAAAATTTTTATTACAGGTTCCATTCACTTTAAGGCCTTTTATCTTGCTATATCTGTATACTCTGTGTGGATATTCTCATTGACACTCAAATGTCAATACATTATGCAATCAGGTAACTAGTAATCATAGTCATATGTAGTAATATTTTGCATTAAAAATCATCCTTGATACATAATTCTATGTCTGTGATTTGATAGGATTATAGATTAGTATAGTCTATAGAGACTTTATAGTCTAGTCAGCTGACTACTATAAGAAAAATGCATTATGTCAGGAACGGTACTATTAAAAATCATCTCAGATTTTTTTTTAATTATTCAAGACATTATTGACTGTATCATTGAAGAATAAACACTCGACTTAACTATTTATTTAATATCAACAACCACAGACAGTCATTAGCATAGATAATATGGTCATGTCCAAAAATTATGCTTGATCAAATAATCTTTGTAAGTATATTTGCCTTTTACTCCTCATGGAAGAGCACAGGCTGCCTACCAACACTTTCCATCCGAATCTGTCCTAGGCAATCCCTTCCAGCTCCTTCCAGTTGATATTCATCCTTTTCATATCTGCTTTTATTTCCCAACGTAATGTGTTATTTGACTTTCCTCTTTTCTGTTTCCCTTCAGGATTCCAAGTTAGTGCTTGACTCGTGATGCAGTTTGATGATTTCCGTAATGTATGTCCTATCGATTTCCATCGTCGTTTACTAATTTCCTTTTTAGTTGGAATCTGGTTTGTTCTCTCCCACAGAAGGTTGTTGCCGATGGTATCCGTCCAATGGCTGTTGAGTATCTTGCGTAGACAACTATTTATAAATACTTGTACCTTCTTGATGATGATTATGGTAGTTCTCCAAGTTTCAGCTCCACATATGTATATTTGCATCTGGTTGGAAATAATACCTAATCAAATACTGAATCAAAATACTTAGATTCATAATCAGATCAGTGATAAATTAAACCATCACCAGAAGATCTTCGATATTTTTCATAGACAGTATACGAAAGGCTAATAAATTCTTTTATATCTGTAAAAGATTCCAAGTAGGTTTGAATATTTGATCATACGTAAACCAAGATGAATATTGTTGGGAAATCTAAGTTGAAGATTTTCAAATACTGTCATAATTCATAAGTTAATATCAGATTAGTGTTTATAGATTCTTGAAATAGTTTAAAGAATCTAGAATGATGTCAGACATTTACTATTGCAAAATGCTTTTCTTTATTTCTGCTTAACATAATAATTTATTCTGAACATTTTGATGCTTGAAGATCATCGTTTATGACATAGAATAAGGCGGCCTGCTCAAACATATGGACTACCTGTTCCAGCCATCTGGATATTTCAACAAATTATCTGTTTTCTTGTTTGTTCTACAACATCATTATGACTATTAATCGCATAACCTATTCAAGTGAGTTTATGAAAAGTGTACAACATTTCGTGGTACAAGTTACAAAAAGGTTCATGGTTCAGAAGATATCATGGTTGCTGGCAACATGCATCGTAAAGAATGTACATTATTTACATGTTGATTGACTGGACTGTTAACTTCTAACTAGCGATCACTCAATATTTATCGTCAGTATCGATGAAGAAGTAAGAAACAGAAACCTATTGAAATGATAATTATTCTTATCATTATAGTACGGTAATAGTTATGGATTTGCAACATTCTATCCTTTGAATTTCTGATTTACAATCATTAATTGACAGAAATGTAAATTTATCGAATTTGTCGTGTATGCGCACCACTAAGGAGTCCCTCAATAGGATAAAATGACTGTCCAGTGCTTCCAGGTTTTCCATAGTGATCTACCTTTAACTGACTCATGATCTCAACTATTGAATCTATGTAACTGATTAGGAAATTATTTTATATACATAGTTTATTCTATTTAATGCTAATAAGTATTCTTTACATTGAAACTGTCATAAGAAATAAAATTTCTGAAAATGTTTCCTTTCTTTTTTCTTTTAAACATAGCACATACATTGAAAGAACCGAATTAAGAGTACATGTTTACATTTCCGAGCATGTTCCAAAGAAATTTAAACTATGAGGGGCAAGGGTTTTAACAATGCAATAGTTCGGCATTTATTTGACATCGGGTATATTATTGATATTCGACATGATTTTAAAATTATTAGCAGACAAAGAAATTCTGCTTCTCTTTGGTTTGTTGAAGCGATTACAATAAAAAAAAACAACTCAAACCTGATCTATGTATCCGAAATGAGACAGGAATAAACTTATTACTACCTTGGTAATTCAATTTATTGGTCATTAGTTTTATTGTGTTAGTGTTTAGCATGTTATAGATATCTTTCATTATCGAATTCTTATTTTATGTACATTCAATCACCCCCCCCTTCACTCATACATTTCCACTCATTCAATTCTATTAAATTATATGAACTCTTCAAATCTTGTTTAATTATTATGCAACCCATCTTACCAGTTTTTTTTTTTCTTTTTTTAATACCATGATTCTTGTACAAACTCTTCATTACCACCATAGTTACCACACAGTTTATCGTATCTATCTCTGAACTTCACTCAATCATTACATCACCCACCTCCTTATATTTTTTTCCTTCGATTCTAACATCAAATAAACTCCGACCTATATAGTTATTATTGATAACCTTTGTCATTCCAATTCTTTACATTCACTTATGTCAATTGTTTCACATTATGTTCTTATCTCAATGCAAAATTTTAGTACATTAGTACATAATTTTTTTATCAGAAGGGGTTTGTGGAGATTTTGGAAATTTTCACAGATCGAAATCATGAGTCAATTGAAGCTAGACCACCATGGAAAACCTGGAAGCACAGGACGGCCGTTTCGTCCTAGTATGAGACTCATCAGCAGTGCGCATCCACATATTTTTTGTTGCAAACAACTGATAAAAAACCACAAAAGATAATGAATTCATATTATTCTGCCTCCATGTTCATTCTGGTTTTATTTAAATTCAAAAAAGGGAATTAATTGCATGAATGTTTTGAAACAATGTCAGCAATTATTCATTTTTGATTTACAAATGTTTAAGATCAGTTCAAATCCTATAACAATCATTTTATAGAAATAGTATATGGAGGTATTTCCTAGAGTTTTAGTGAGAAGCAATGACTAGTGGAGCTCAACCGGGTCAGTTGTGAGATAATAGTAACTCACTGAAGACAATGGTGGATGTGTTGCTCAGTTTGGTGGATTAATTGAAGTTAGACATTAACACCATTGGATGCTGACGAGCCCAATGGTCTAGAGGTTAGGCGTTCACATGTAAGACTAATAGATCCTGAGTTGGAATCTCGTGAGCCAGGATCGTGGATGTACGCTGCCGAGGAGTCCTACAATAGGACGAGACGACCATCCAGTGCTTCCAGGTTTTTCATGGTGATGTGGCTTCAACTGACTCATGATCTCATCTATTAAAATAGTATATCCACTATTGTCTTCAGCGAGTTACTATTATCGTGCAGTAGACCCGATTGAACTCCACTGGTCAGTGCTTTTCACTAGAATCCCAAGAAATACCTCTTGAAGTCAGTCACTATGGAGCATATGTTGATTTGTATCAGAAGATGTTTTTGTAGACATTTTAGTGCTTCCAAGTTTTTCATAATGGTCTAGCTTTAATTGACTCATAATCTCAAGTGTTATATATTTTCTCTTATCAGACTCCTTTTATATTGAATTGCTTATAGTATTTCAAGAATTCATTCGATCAAAAGGAAACCCTATTAAATGTATACTTGAATGATATTAGTAGGTAATTACAAAACGACTGTATAAATCATCTTCAATAAAGAAAATACACTATATTCATGAATAACTTACTTGATTCCCTTCTATAGTATCCATATCTGACATAGTGAAAGGATTAATTTTTTCACAATTATTCAATATTGATTGTGATGATAATGACGATGATGATGTTGATGATGATAATAATAATCCATTAACAGAATTTATACAATTAACCATCCATTGATTCCATAATAAATGTTGATTATTTATTGACAATGCTGATGATGCAGCAGCAGCAGCTGCTGCTGTTCCTCCTGCTGATGATGATGATGAGGAGGATGGTATTACATTGTTGAAATTATAAAAATGATTATGTAATCGACTTATATTAGATTCATGAAATAAATGTTTTGGATAATTTACATTATTCTCATTCATTGATGAATCAATAAATGAATTAGATAAATGATTGATATCAAATTCTATAGGATGATTATCTTTTAATTTATCTTTAATTCTTTGTATTGATTGTTGTTGTTCATCTAATCTTGTTGTTGTTGCTGTTGTTGTTGTTGTTGTTAACATAGGCGCCAATAAATTATTCTTTGAACTATTTATACTACTCAAATAATCTTCATTATTATGTTTCCAATTCATTAACCATTTCGTATCAATCTCTTTTAATGTATTCATCATATGACTATTATTATTATTATGATTATTATTATCAATAATTGATTCATTGAAATGTTGTGATTTCAATGAATTCAATGAAGTTAATAAATAATCTGACGACGACGATGAGGAGGAGGTTAAGGAGGATGGTAACAAGAATGAAGATGATGAAGATGATGGTAATGGTATTAATGGAATATTCATTTTATTATGATATTGTATTATAGTTTCTAATTTATTTAAACGATATTTTGTTTCATTATATTCATTGAATAATAATTCATATTTTTCATTAAATTTATTTAATTCATCATTTAATCTTTTATCAAATATATTGAAACATGTTGAATAAATTAAATGAATAAATGATTCTTGTAATAATAAATTTGATGAAAATGGATATAATAATGAATTGGTTAAATGATTCATTGATATTATCCCATTGCATGTTGATGTAGATGATAACGCCAACGACGCCGACGACGACGACGATGATGATGATGATGATGTTGATGTTACTTCATGATTTTCTTGTTGATAATTCGAATGATAATGATGTTGTTGTTGTTGTTGTTGTTGTGGACGATGATGATGATCCTGATGAGAAGAAGGAGGTTGAGGAGGTTGAGGAGGAGCAGGTGGAGGAGGAGGTGGTGGATGATATAGATTACAGTTTAATTTCAATTCATTACCATTTAATTTAGTATTTGTTTGAATGATTGATGGTAGATTTGAATTTATAGTATAATGATTAGTTGTTAACATTGTATTAGTATTTAATAATTCTGGTGAACTTGATGAAGATAAAGATTCTATTGAATGAGTTACATTTATAGTTGATAAATTCATTATGTATTAAGTTAATAGGTTAATTATTTGATTTGCTTAAAGTCCATTACTAAGTTGCTTTTCCGCGTTAACATTAATATTACTATTATTATTATTATGTGTGTTAACAATGTAGAAAACTGCTGCTGCTGCTGATGAGGATGAGGATGATGAAGGTGAAGATCAAGTAATCTCTAATAATAACAATATTTTAGTTAACGTTTTTAGAAAAAAAAATAATAACAGGGGTAATTTGTTAAATTTCAAGCACATATGTATATTCATTGATAGATTATGTAAACACACAAATATCTATCTATCTATCTATCTATGTGTATTCGACTGATCCGAAATCTGGTTTACCAATCATAGGATATGGTTACTACATTTATTACTATTATTATTATTATTACTATTAAGGTTTTCAATGGTAACATGTGAATAGATATATATTAATTTGATCCAACATTTGCAGGTCTTGAACTGTGCCTCTTGTATCCATGCACTTATATGTATGTATATATACATACAATAACATACACAAACATATATACACACACACACACTCGAAATTATACACAATAACAAACTAGATTTACTTATTGCACAGATACAAAAATTGTAAAATATCAGTAATATAACACAGAATTATTATTATTTTTTGTGTGTTTTGCTTTAAATGTAACTACACATTTCTATTCAAATCAAACCAATCATATATTGTCCGAATAGTTACTCCCTTTCAATGTATTTATTCATATACAAATAAAAACATACATGTATATATATATGTATCCATTACTAACCAATGTATAATAGAACCCCAAAAAAGAAAACTTTACATTCTCAATTAATGTCACCTATTACATTGTTTTTTTTGTTTTTTAAATAGTGTGCATCATGTAAAGATAACAACCATGTGTATATACATATACGTTCAGTATATTCAATCAGTGAAGTTAACAAACTACCATGAACTTGGTATATCAGCTTAGATCAAAAGTCTAATCTTAAAAATGCATTATTATTATGTTAAAATTTACACCTGCTAAGTAAAATGATTTGTCAGATGTGAAAGTAGTTAAGGATAAAACAAGAATGTTTCCTAAAAAGAAAGTAAACATATATGCACAGGGAATGATTCGATATACAGCAGTGCTGTATAATCATGATGATGATGATGATGATGATGATGATGATGATGATGGTTTCATAAAATTGTAAAACTCAACTTTACATATTCTATTCTAACTTCATATCTTTTTGTGTTTATATACAATCTTTAAATGGTTTATTAATTTATAAGTAGTATATTAAATAACTAAGCAAAATGTTAACAAAGCAATAAATAATTGTATGGTTGAATTCATAAATTTGATCTATGCTAGACCACCATAGAAAACCATGAATCATTGGAAAGCTGTATCGTTATAGTATAGGACTTCTCAGAAATATTCATCCACGATCCCAACCATCGGGATTCGAACCAAGGACCTTCGGTCTTGTGCACAAACGCTTAACTTCTACATCACTAAATTGGCATTCAGCTTCAACTAATCCACAATATTGCGCCACTGTCTACCATTGTCTTCGGTGAGTAACTACTGGTCACTACTTTTCACTAGAACTCTAGGAAATACATCCTAAAGCCAGTCACCAGTGAGCACATGATGATTATTTATAAGAATGGAGATTTATGGAGATTGTAATAAATTAATGGTTGAATTCATGAGTCGATTTACTCTAGACTAACCTGGAAAACCTGAAATCAATGAACGGCCGTTTCGTCCTAATATGCAACTCCTCAATAGTGTGTATCTATAAATTCGACAAACCCTTATTCTGAAAGTAATTTTGTTTCTTACTTCTAGAAATATTTCAAAGTTCCAATTATTTTATATCCATGATCTCACCACGAAACGAACTGAAAACCTTCACATCTCACATGAGGCATCTGACTTTTATACCATCTAATTACCAACCAATCATTTATATTTTGAATTTCAGTTCTTGTTATGTATTTCGTTAATTGAGATGTTCTACTAATTTTCAAAATTACTTAGAATCAACACTGGTAATATTAAATTATTTTCCCTTCATTTTGTATTATACATTTGAAAAACTTCACTTTCTTTATTCTAAACTTTCCTCATTTCATACTTATGTTAATTAATCTAGATTCAGATCTTAACACAATAGACTACCTAGTTCAAACCTTGAGTCTAATAATGCATAGGTCAAAGTAGTGATTAAATGTCCTTGAGGCCAGACAGACGAAAACCATCCTAACACCTGATTGGTTGACAAGCAAAAGAGACAGAAGGTGCACCGACTGAAACAACGTTCGATTTATTCCTGACTGGAACTAACGCGAAAACACGAATCAGTAGATGACTAACACAACAACGATACACAAAGTATTAGAAAAATACAATTATATCCAAATCAATCATTAGGTTAGATAAATGGAACAAAAAAGATTACAAGTACAGATGGATGGTAACTAGCAGTGGAATCCTAGACGTGCGTTTCATCTTATTCGGGACTCGTTATCTGATACATGTGAATAGTTAATTACTTTCGATTTTCTCCCATTATTATTATTATTATTACTATTATTATCAAAACTGAGTATTATCTCATATTACGATTAGGACGTCAGATGACGTTCACTCTTGTTCCCTTTCCTCATTTAAGTTAAAGTTTCATAAATCCTATCAACAGCTGTAAATTATCACATCTAGAATGTATAATTGTTTGTTTACTTGTTTGCTTTTTTACCACAGAAATTATTCTTTTCCATATTACAAGAAAGACAAAATATTCTGTTTAATCAGTTAAATATACGTTTGAAAATTACAGAAAATTTTTGTTTCGAAACTAAAAATATTTTCAAGTAAATATGGCTAGCAGTGGAATTCCGGACGAATGTTTCATCCTATTTGGGACTTGTCAGCTGGATGTATCAGCATCTCAGAGATTATATTCACTCTGGGATTTTGGGACGAGTTTCAAATAGGACAAAACGCGCGTACTGGATCCCACTGCTAGCCACTATCGATCTTTGTATAGAATGCTTGTGAATTAAAGCTATATCGAGGCATACGCACAGGATACACATATGCCAATAACAGACTGATCAATTACAGTGGTAAACATCAACGGGAAGATACAATGAAACAACACCAAGTGAATTTAAATTTCACCCCATTGCACAAACAAGTAGATATCAGGACTCAGTAGTTAAGTGGAAAACGTGATGGCATTTGAAGCCAATGGTACAGGGTTTAGGTCCTGCAGCGATTATCAACCCTAAGGTGAAGTCACATCCAGTTGATGAGTCCCAAATAGGACGAAACGTACATCCTAGATTCCAATCCTAGTCACTATCCATCTTCGTTTTTTAAAGCTTGTGACCTATTGCAATATCGAGGAAGTTCGCACAGAATGCACATATGTCAATAAGAGACCGATCGATTGCAGTCTTAAAAAACAATGGGAAGATACATGTAAACAACATTTCATTTTTATAAAAAAAAATTATATCACCCGCTTCTTTTGTTAAACAAGTAATTGTTTTTGATTTTTAACAAATGTCACATATAGTACACTTTGTATTGTATATATATAATATGCGAATCATTAATCAATAAATAAAAATTCCCAGTATTAGTAATTATGACTGTTTATAAACTATTATCACGTCTTAATCAACATTAGAGGGTTCCCTCTTGGTGCTCTCTTAATCAACATGGAAACTAAATATTTAGATGTAAGTATTAAAATGATCTATTATCTAATAGTAATGGATGACAGAAAATTAAAAATTTCAATATCAGTTAAGTTCTATGTGTCATGCTTTCAGTGTTCTTGTTAAATTTGTGCTTTACAAAGTTTATTATTAGAATAGAGGTTTGTGGTAACTGTACTGATTTTAATAGTTGAATTCATGAACCGATCTAAGCTAGATCACTATACTAGGACGAAATGGCCATTTAGTACGTTGGTAATGATGAATTCAGTCAGTCAGTCAGTCGGTCAGCTACAACGTAGGATCAGACACATATATGCATCGGTTCAAGTTGCCACAACTCATTAGCACAACAAGATGAGCACCAAATTCATAAGAGTAGTCACTTCAATGGTGATAATATATAAACTAAAGATTGTGTATAAGGATATAATACAGAAGGAAAGGATTAGTTGGTAGAAATAAAGGTATAAATCAATTGTAATCCCCATAGTTTAAAGGAAGACAGAGATTGTATACACCTACGTCATCGTGATCGATTCTGAACCTTGTCATCCAGAGTCTCCAACGATTGGTTATAATAGTAATGCGGATCCCAACGAAGTAGTCTGCATCTATGAACATGGCTAAGACTAGGAATTAGTGACTTCATGATGATGAACTTTCTTACATGAACTCATAAATTCAACTTTTCAAAGAAATCATCTAATACATAACATAAAAGAGGTTAATATAAAATTGAGTTATTTCAATGTAATTAGTTGAAAATTTCAAAAAAACTTTTGTTAAGAGTTTATATTTAAATAAAGAGATGAATATTTACAATGGTCATAGATACAATTTGAGAATTAAATCTTAGTTCATTTGTTATTCTGATTTTAAAATGGTTGATAAGTGTCAAGTTGACTTTCATCCTAAAACTACTGAATGTGTCTGTACAAGATACTTTTTATACGACTAATTTCGAAGGATTTTTTCATGAATGTCTGGTAAGTACATGGTGAAATGAATGCTATGGGATAAATGACTTTCAATGGTTTATTTAATTTCATTTGATATCGTTTATTAATCAGAGTAACAACGAGAGAATTCTCAATTGATCTTATTTATCTTTTGTCTAACTGTTAGGAATCATTACTGATTTTTTATGTCTGATGTGAATAGATTTATAGCCCCAATTGTGAACTAGTAAATCAACATAATAAAGTCCCTACAACTTGACTTCATTAAGAACAAAAGATGAATAAGCTATAAACATAAATTCTCCCTTCAATTTCGTATATTCTACTTAGGATAATTCAGTTTAAGTGACGGTGGTTTTTATTAAGGAGCTAAATACAAACTAAATTTGAGGAATTTATTTTAGGCATTCGTTTACTTAGATAGACGTTGAATTGAGAAATAGAGAAGTCTGATTCATCAACGCAGTTCATTATTTATAGTCAGCTAGATAAACTAAGTTAAATAAATGTAATGAACAGAGGAGATAATAAACAAATATTCTCAAATAAAAGCAATCAAGGTTATAAGTGAATAATTGACATGGTCAAAATAAGCATGGATACTGAAACAGAAAATAATTAATTCATCTGTCCCATCCCCGTCGCCAATTTCTTATGTTTCGTTATTGCTTGAATGCGATTACTGATGCGTCTTACTCGAACGA